TGGTAATTAACACAGAGGCCCACAACTGGTCAACATGCAGAGGATAAGAGACTTTGGAGTGCTCAGCCCTAAATGGGACATTTATATCACACTCCTCCTCCAAAGGCTCCGGGAACATGGAGGAAGAGGAGGTAGAAAGATCCTAAGAGCCAGAGGTGGTGGATGACAACAGAAGAGTGTTTCCCAGACACAACAAGGCAATCACACACATGAACCCACAGTGCTTGTGACAGCATGCACAAGATCTGTGTAAACCCAAGCCAGACTCAATCTCAAAATGGAGGGGAGAGGTGATCGTGAAGCCCTAACCATAGCTAAGGAACACTTGGCAACTAATAGATGCTAGGAGAGTGAGAGTCGGTTTTCACTGAGGGTGTCAACTGTGTTTTTCATTGATCAATGCTCCAGAACTCCAGGAGATGAACCTATACCCAAGAGTACTGGACTTTAAAATATATAGAGGACAGGAAGTGGAAGGGGCAGGGAGGTGGAGGTAGATCTGAGAAGAGATGGGGTAGTGGGTTTGAATATGATGAAAATCCATTGTATGAAATTCTCAAAGACTCAATAAAATATTTTTTAAGAATGCAAAGAAAGAAAATGCATTTGAATATCACTGGACACATGTGGGCAAACTACTTTAACAAGTTACCTCCAAAGACAAAAATAAGTTGTGTACAAGCATGCCAGAAAGTAATCATCTTTCTTACTAACTAAAAGTAAAAAGTTTGAAAATTAGTGAAAAACACTAATTTTACCTACTAACTTAGCAAAGATTTTTGAAAAAGACGTATTATGTTGGTGAGAATTAGATGTTCTGTACACTAAACCTAAAGGAAAAAGTGCATTTTACAGACATACATATAAAATTTGAGAATAAGGATGTACATTTGTTAAAAACAGAGAAATACTGGAAAGAACATAGAAGTCCAAAATGAATGACTAATAAAGTCATGCATGAGATGAGCAAGTTATTTTACATTCATTATATTATATCAAAATGAAGAAACAGTAACAAAGCAACAGTAACTCTTTAGAAGGTAAGAATGACATTCTTCAGTATGGCTTCAGTTGTTCAAATGATGGTACATTTGTGCATTTGGTGATAAAATATGCTTCCTGTATACTGCATTATATCTGTGCCTAAAGCCATCCCAGGGGCTCCACACTGGAGGAACCTGAGGCTGAGGACAGTTGAATAACTCACTAAATGGAACAGTCAGGACATAAACAAAAGTCAGTTTGACTAAAATTGTGTTCATTTTATCCGTGTCTGTCCTCATTTCATATAATTTCTGGGATCTAAATGTAATATTAAATGTAATATTACAATATAAATGTAATATTAAAAGTATGCATTCACAATTCTAAAACTTGCTTTGTCCAAGATGTAGGCCCACAGATATAATCTTAATGAGGGTAAAGAGTATGAACATGTGTGTGTGTATGTGGGGTGTGTGTGTGTGTGTGTGTGTGTGTGTGTGTGTGTGTGTGTATGTATGTATGTGTTTGTATGGGCACATAAAGAGGCCGGAAGAAGACTTGGACTTTGCTAGCCCAAAGCTAGCAGTTTCTGCTAAGCTGACTGACAGCAAGCTCCTGGGATCCTCTTGCCTGCCTTCACACCCCTCTCCCCCAGTGCTCAGGTGACAGGTATGGAGACTTTGCCTAGTTTTTATGTGGATGCTGGGTTGTCTTAATTTCATAGCAAGCATCCTTACAAGGGTACTGAGCCATCTCCCCAACCCTGTGCCATTTTTTTCAAGACAGGGTCACTCACTGAAACTGGAGTTCACAGTTTTGGCCAGGCAGGCTGGAAATCCTTTATGAACCATGTCAATTTTGCAAAATTTATTCATGAAGAAATATTTAGCACCTCCTTTTTCTAGATATTGTGAGAAATGCTGGCACTGTGGCAGGCATAATAGTCCAAATGAATTTTTTGTTACAAAGTGTCTTTACTGGGCACATCAAGGTAAGGAAAGACAGCAAAGGTGGGGGCATCCATCAAGACAATGTACTATCAAATGTCCCATGAACTATTTACTTAGGGCAAGTGATTGCTTGTTCTTTTTTAAGCTTTTCATAAAACCTTAAAGGTCAGAAGATCCCAGATTCCCTCTTAGAATGCCACACAATTTAGAGCCTTCACAGCAATGCATTAATAATGATAGTCTCTCCTATTTAGAAGTCTAATGCTTTTATTATCACATAGCATTATGTACAGTGGCTGTACAGTGGTCCTCACATTTGCCCTTCTGGGAGTGCAGCATCTTCATTGTTAAGCGGACAGAGTTGGGCTATCAAGGTCCTCTGCAGACAGCTGTAGAATGGATTCCCATTCCCATGGCTAATGCTAGCTTTCCACTTCTCCAGAAAAGCCCATGCATTTCAGCAAGTGGACTTTTAATGCAAAATCCATTATCTTTAAGCAGTAGATTCACATCTAAATTCTTCCTTAATCTTTAGCCTATGAGTCAATGGGAAGCTTTATCAATTAGGATGTAGATCATAAAAAAAGATGCTGATCATTCACTCACTTTTTATAGTAAGACCAGATAAACAAAAACAGACACACACACACACACACACACACACACACACACACACACACACACATACATACACGTTTCCGGCCCTAGTGGCAGGAAATATTAATGAAGGTTATTTATTTGTTTATTTATTATGCAAAATGTAAGAAGTACTCAGAATAGTAATGGACTGAGGCCAACACTGTAAGTTCAAATGAGTTAGGTCCTGACAAAACGACCCTCCAAAACCAAAGCCATCTATCTGAGAAGGGAAAGCCATTTTTTGCCTTTAGAAATGAACACAGTCGTCAGAATAACTCACTGTTAACACCTTTCCAGGGGAATGAAACCAGGGAGAAGTTGAGGAAACACAGTAAAAGGAAGGGATATAGGAAAAAGGACACTTTACATTGCTTGTTGTAATGTGGGCAGCTTTCTTAACCTTTCAGAAACAATTTCAGGAGGGACGACCCTCTGCCCATCTGGAACCAGGTGTCATTACTAAGGAGATGTATCTCATTTAACAAATTATGGCATCTGATCTTTTTTCTTTTTCCCTTTTTTTTTTTTTTAGTAAACCTGTAAATAAAGCCACTCATACCTGGGTTGTAAATATAGTCCAAATCTGCACAGCCTCGAGCGTACTGATTATTGTTTTAGTTTGTGCTAACTGAGGAAATAGCTTAATAATAGTAACTTAACTAGAGAAGGTCAAACTTCTCATTCATTTGAATTAATGAATACAGATTATCTCTCAATTAATTATTAGTGCTCTGATGCACGTTTTGTAACTGCTAATGTTACACAAAGACTTTAGAAACAGTGAATTTAAAGTGCTTCACAGTTTGCAAAATTATTTAATATATAGTCTCTAGCACTAGAGATCTAGGAGGAAAGCGTCGTTTTCCATTACAGGAGTAAAAATTATTTCTCACTTGGCCAATTAAGTGATTTTCAGAAGGGCTCATCACCGGAAAACCAGTGTGTGTGAACGCCGGAAATGCAGATGGATTCACATCAGAAGTCTCTATCCTAGGTGGGAACCCAACTAAGATTTCTCTTTATCTGTGATAGCCAACGTTTGATGAAAGGAGCCGCGCTGTAAAACATCTCTTTTTCTTTTCATTTTTTAAGAACTGGAAAGAGACAGCTAAAAGCCTGTAAAGTTCTCCAAACAAGACTTAGAGAAGGAAGCCTTTATTGAAGGGTCAGTGAGGAGAGTGGGTGGGGTGCTGGGAACACTGTGCCTGTAGCCAGGGGCAAGGTTCCCAGGACAACCAGAATCTCCAGGTGAGCGGGTGTCCCAGGCTCCAGCTGGAGGCAGAGAGGCTCAGGGCAGGTCCCTTGCTGGCATCATTTTGGCCAGGCGGACCCTGCTGGGACTCTGGGAGCAAGGAGACTCCCTGGAGTGGCGCGGACTGCCTGGGACAAGCTGTCAGTCGCCTCCAGCTAGCCAGGAGCAGGTCCCCAACCGCACCTCCAGAGGTCAGCTCTGTCCTTTCGCTATCCTCAGGTCCTCCGACATTTTTCATCAAGACAGAGAGGTAGGAAGAAGGGGAGACATGGGCGAAGTGTCTGCGCCCAGCCTCTGCGGCAGCGGGAGAAGAGAGGAGGAGGCAGGCTGGCTAGGAGGCAGCTAGGAAACTGGGATGCATTCGTAGCCAGGAGAATCAGCACCCTCATCCAGGGAGTCTGGATGCACCCACCAGGACAGCGGCTAGGGGGCTGGTGGGTGGTCCTAGTCTTCGCCCCCCTCGTGCCTAGAAAACCGCCTGGTTACCAGGCACACCACAACTCCCTTTCTCTGGACTAAGGGGTGGGGAAGGAACAAAAGAGACTCACCTCCTGCAAACACATGCGGACACACACACACACACACGCACACGGAACACATTATTTCGAATCTGCTCAAGGTGTTCGCACAGCCACGGTCCACACCTGAACAGCGCATTTCCCCAAAGACACGGAAAGATAAAAAGCAGGAAAGAGACCATCTGGATGATGGGCGGCTTAGGCACTGGTCATTCTCCTCACTTGGAAGCTTGGCAGACCTGGAGCCCCCGCGGGCTCTCTCTCCCGCCTCCCCGGCCTCTCTCTCCCGCCTCCCCGAAGGTTCTGCGCTCCAGCCGGCTCACGCGGACCGGCTCGGGGCTTCCCAGGGCGGCAGGACAGTGGTCCAGCCCCCTCCGCAGAGCCTGGGGCCGGCGACTGCATCCAACCCGGTAGCGGGCGACCTGGGATTTAACTTCGCGGAGCCTTGACCGCGGTGCTGTCGCCCTCAGACCCCGATGCCCCGCAGTCTCTCCAGCCAGGGCACCCGCGACAGCCGCCCCCTCCGCCCCCCTCTTTCCTTCACCTCCCCTTCATCTTGGAAAATATAAAACACCCAAACCACCCATCCATCGGTGCAAAGCAGACATTTTGGTGGCATTTACCGAGCGCCCCTCGGCTTCAGAGGCCACGTCTTACCCGGTCGCCTGGAGGTTTGGGCCAGAGCACCGCGGTCCGAGGGCGCGCGAGGCTCGGCTGCTCGGTCCTCTAGAGGAGCCGGCTCGCTGCCATCCGCCCAACTTCAGCACCCAGCGGCGGAGGAGAGAGGGAGAGAGGCCAGGATGGAGAGGGGAGGGTGGGGGGAGGAGGCTCGGGTGGGCGGGGAGGGAGCGGGAGCCGCTCCGCAGCGCGCATGCGTCCAGCGGGCGGGCTCAGCCTCCGGCCCCGGCTGCAGGAGGTGCCTCTTCTTCCCCCTCCGGTCCCGGGCGGTGTGAGTCACCCGAGCATCCCTGCCCTGCGCGCCCGCCTGGGGACCAAGCCCACGGTGTCACGGTGCCCAGCAGCTCTGGCTCTGGAGACCGCAGACCTGAGGTTCCCGGGAGCCCGGGAGTGCAGGGAGCCTTTCAGGAGGACGCTCCTCCGAGTTCGCTTTCACCCACAGCCCGCCTTGTGTTCGCTTGGTCCCCAGGAACAGGTTTGACACCAGAAGCATGTCTTTGAAGGCACGCAACTGGGCTGCAGCCGCGGGCTCGACGCAGCCTTCCTGCATGGGGGATCCAAAGTGTAAAGTTCTGTTTACCAAAAGACAGGACTTTATGGAGAGTCTTGACTTTATGCGTGCCTTAAACGGAGAAATACTCAAGAATTACTTCAGTTGCTCTATGCCTAGGTATATGAACCAATGGAACTGGGGTTCCCCTTGAGAGAAACCTCTGACAAAGCTGGAGTTTTGAACTTAGTGGGGTGTGGATGCCTGGTGCCTAGAGCATCCTCAGGAGACCAGTTGGCTGCTAATCTTTGTTCTCCCAAGCAGAGCCCAGCTTGGTGGTGAAGGAGCTTCTGATACTTAATGCAACCCAAGGGCTAGATTGGACCGCCTATGATTAGGCTGAAGTGTTTGTGAGAAGGAACCCAGGGAAGCGAAGTGGGTGTCTTTTCAGAGTCCACATCTGTGGGATGAGAAGCGAGTTCCTGCAGGAACGATTAGGCTCTTTCCTTACACCTAACTCGAACTGATTACTTGTAAATGTATATGACGTCCCACTGCTGGGATGCTTCTGTGTACAAATAGTGTTGGTATTTCTTCAGTCTCCCAACACCCTGGCCCCTCCTTCGTATGCTTTCTCTGCTTTATTTTTAAAATTTCTTTTGGTTTTTATTTCATGTGTATAAGTGTATTGCCTGCGTGTTAAGTGCACCCGTGTGTGCAATGCCCGTGAAGGTCAGAGGAGGGCGTTGAATTCCCTGGAACTGGAGTAATGGATGCTTTTTAGCGGCCATGTGGGTGCTGGGAATGGAACCCGGGTCCTCTGCAAGAGCAGCCAGTGCTCTTAACCACTGAGCCATCGCTCCAGTCCCTATTTATTTTTTGAGACAGGGTCACCCTGTAGCACCCTGGGAAGCCTGGAATTCACTACGTGGACAAGGTTGGCCTCGATCTCACAGAGATCCTCCTGCCTCTGCCTCTCCAGTGCTGGCATTAAAGGCATGTGCCACCAAGCCCAGCTTCATGCTTTATATTTACAGTAATTAACTTTTGTTGGAGATTGCAAAAGTTTGTCTTCGTCCATTTGGGCTACTTTAACAAAACTTTCTAACTGGGTGACATGACAGAGACAACAGAAACCAAGTTGTCAAAGTACTGGAGACTGGGAATTCTAAGGTCAAGATGCAGGCACATTGGGATGCAGGAGAGATGGCTCAGTCATTAAGAGCACTGGCTGCTCTTTGACCTCCTTGGGCATTGCACACATGTGGTGTACTTGCATATATAAAATAAATTTTGAAAAGATGTAGGCAGACTGGGTGTCCTATGAGGTCCTGCTTTGGCTCCCAGACTACTGTCTTTTCACTGACCCTCACTTGCTAGAGGTGAGCAAGACAGCCCTGTGGCATGTCTGTTTTGAGGCACTAACCCTGCGTAGGAGGCTTCTCCACTTGATCCAACCACCTTCAAAGGCACCACCTCTTAGTACCATTACTTTGGAGGATTAGGATTTCAACATACGGATTTAAAGGAGACAGAAACATCCTGTATTATTGTCCTATGATGGATAAAAAGTAAAAGTTCTCCAAAATTGGTATGGACAACAGTGAGTCCTTTGTAACTTCCTCTCAGACTTGTGTCTTCATTCTTCTCCTCTCTTTACTTGAAGAATTACAGCCCTAAATAATTATTGAACAACTACTTTTACTTGTACATCTATAGTTGTTAATATTTATTGAGCAGTTACTTCCTTCCTGGTACTGTCCTAAATTCCTTTCGTGTGCTTTTTATTCTTTTTCACGACAACCCTACAAGGTAGATACTATTATTATCATGTTTAACAGGCATCTTAGAAGCAGAGCTCCGGATATCCACCCCCTCCAAACCTGTTCCTCCTCAGATTGTTCAACCCAGTTATTCAATCCAAAAATGTAGAAGTCATCCCTGTTCTGCCTCTTTGCTTTCATCCTCATCCAGTTAATTAGCAAATCATGTTTCCTCTATCACAAAAAAATGTCTGCAATTCCTACACTTTGTCCCCCCTCCATTACTATAACCATGGTCCAAGTCACTGTCATCAGTCAGCCACTCTCACCTGGACAACTCAAAGCCTTTCCTTTTTCTATCTCCATATAACACTTCGAATAACAGCTGAATGATCCTCTAAAAGCATAACCAGATCTTGTCATGTGTCTGCTTAAAATTCTTCAATGGGTTTTCATTGTACTTTAAATACATCTTGTAATCCTTGCCCTAGGAAAGTTCTGCTCAATATTCTTCCAGCTTCATTTGTTTAGATCCTGCTTCCACAGACCAGTGGTGAGCGTGTTCTAGCCACATAGGCCTGCCTCTTTCACTTGAATCCAGTAGATGAGACCTGCTGTTCTTCCTGGGATCATGTGCATGTAAATCCTCACATAGCAGGTTATTTAATATCATGCAGTTACCTGCTCAAACATCACCTCAGAAAGGCCTGAGGTAAAAATGCTCCAATGTGCCAAACAGTTCTTTTTTATTTAATCCCTTTGTTCTATTTTATTAAGAACATACTTTTTCAGTATTCCAATATTTTATTTATTTACTCCCTCCCACTACACTAAAGTATCTTAAAACTTCACTCTCCCTTTTTCCCCTTTGGTGTCTAGACCAAGATTTGGCACACAGTATTGACTTGGTAAATATCTATTAAGTGAATCCGTGAATGGTTAAATACATTGCAAACTTAGGAAAATTTGTCGTTTTACTTATTTATCTATTTATTTATTGCTGATGGCTCTTCTTGAATCCTAATTGTTACCTATCAAGATCTGTTGTTTCTAGAAGTATATCGCTAGAGGACATTGTTTCATATGTTAGACCTAACAAAAATGGTTGCAACCAGAGGCACACGTTTAAACTGCACGCAAGGGTTCCAACAAACTTTAAAATAAACATATCATATTCTTATCTTTTTTCTGGTACTGAGAATTAAACCTGGGGCCTTATGCATACTAGGTAAGATTTTTATCACTGAACTATATTCTCAGCCTTCTTTATACTTTTTATTTAAGACAAGGTCTCACTAAGTTGGCCTTCAGTTAACTATAGCGCAGGTGTACCTTGAACTAATAATCCCTTCTGGCTCAGCCTCCTGAGTAGCTGAGTTTATAGACCTGCACTGCACTGTACATGTGCTTGCTAAACTCAAATGTAAAATCCTGGTGACCATTTTTTGTGACTGTGATGTTTGCATGATTTCGTACGTATTAGGTGGAATGTATAGTGATGGTGTTCCAGGACATGGACATAATTGATTTCCATCTGAGAGATGACAAGATGGCAGACCCGACCACAGCCTTAATAACCTTCTCTAACATCTTGCAGTCTCTGTATACATCTTGGTCTTAGCAAATATCTGCAACAACCTTGACATCAGGATGTCTAAGTCAATAATTCAATGAACTTTATTAGTGTCTAATCTTTGCCTTTATGTTTTCTAGTTGCTTTGCAAAAAAGTGTCAATGTTATATAAAATTATGTGAATCAGAAACGAATTTCAGCTCATTTTGGCACTAGGAATGCCTGCTCTACTTTTCATACAGAATTCAGAGCTCAGTAGACTCATCAACATTAAATGTCTATGTGATAGCTATGAAGAGAAGCCTTTCATTCCCAGCCATAATGGATGTGTTTTTCATGTAGGGAGACTCTGGAAACAACAGCAGTTTGGGTATAATGTTTTCGTAGTAAAAGGCAGACAGGAGATTTTACAGACAAGATATTTACTGATAAAAGATGCTGGGAAAGAACACAACAGTCAAATATTTGCAGCATATTTACTCATAATTACAGATATTTGTCTTCATTAGGAGAGCTGGAAGTGACCTCAGAAAGTCTGTTATCCTTAAAAGTTATTTCATTTCATTGTCTTTTTCTACATATTTGTCTGAAAGAAACTTCTTTATCCTTAAAAAGCACAGGAAAAAGAAAAATTGGTTGAATTTCGAAACCCGTGACTACTACATCCAGATGAGGATCCATGGGATGACAGTACACGACTGAATGCTTATATGTACCTTGGCCATGCTTCTAGTCAACGGAGCAGCTCATGTTTATTCAATGACTTTTAGAGGTTTATTTTTACTATTTTAAATTATGTGTGGGTGTCTTCATGTGGGTTTGTGCATGCATGTGAGTGCAGGTGCCCAAGGAGTCCAAAAGGATAGAATTCCATGGAACTGGAGTTAGAGGTGGTTGTTAGCCACTCCCCCAATATGAATGCTGGGAACTGGACCTTGGTCCTCTGCAAGAGTAACAATGCTCTTAACAACTGAGTCATCTTGCCAGCCCCTCTTCAACTACTTGTACTCAAAGTTTTGTGGCCAGCTCTACTCAGAGAACCTATTTAGATAGAAAATGTTTGTGTTTCTTTATTAATACTCAAAAGAAATACAGGAAAGGGAAAAATAAAAAGTAGTCTACTTCCCAGATATGTACAATGGAGTATAATTTTATGTTTTATCTCTACTATTATTTTTTACTACTCATTTTGTTGCTGAAGTTTCCTCACTTGTTTAACTTACCTACATTGGGCTTGAAAGACTCAGTATTATTCCTTCGGAAGAGCAAC